GCCCGCCGGGCCCCGGCCCTGTCCGCGGGGCGCCGCTCGGTCCGGACGCGGGGATCGGGGAGCCTGCCCTCCTTCCGCGCTGCGCGGGTAGGCCGGGGGCGGGGCGCCTCGCCTCGTCCTCGAGCCCCAGGGTCCCGTCTGTAAAGTGGGACCCGTGACGGGGTCGTCCCGCCTGCTGTCAGAACAGGGGGCGTGGGAAGCTGTGCTTGTGACCAGCAAGAATGCCTCGAAATCGCAGAGCAGAAGAAAGTTTGTGGGAGGGCAGTGGCCCTGGTAACAGCAGCCCCGGCCCTGGACAGGGGCCCTTGAGAGAGCAGACTGGGCCTTCCGGGGGCATTGGACCCAGAGAGGTGGGGAAGGTTGTTTGCCACACCAACTGTCCCCGAGCCGCCTTTGCTTTCTTTGGAGGCCTCCAGCTCCGGGCCCACCCACGCGTTGTCCGGCTTTTTTTGTTCTTTAGATGTTTGTTTGAGACAGTCTCTCTGTGTAGCCCAAGCTGGCCTCAACCTAGCGGCATTCCTCCTGCCTCAGCCTCCTGTGTGCTTGGGACTATTCTTAGGTAGGGTCAAAGCCTCTCCTGTGTGTAACGTAAATAACCACCCACGACTGAGCAGTTACTGCGGAACCTGACCGCACTCACCTAGGAATGTGGGGGAGGCGGCCGGCGTGTCTGCCCTGAGGGAGAACTGGCCGTTTGAGGAGCTGCAGCAGAACGTGATGACTGAACCCCAGCACTCGGGAGGCTGAGGCAGGAGGATCGTTGCCAATTCAAGACCAGTCTGGGCTACAAAGTGAGCTGAAGGCCAGCCTGAACTGCATAGGGAGACCCTGTCCCCCCGCAAAAAAAACCCACGATGACTGGTAGAGATCTACGGCTTTCCAACTACGATATTTAAAAGTCACAGTGATGCAGTCAGTAGCACGTTCTCTGTGTGCACTTAGCTGCCCTTAGCTGCCGTTGTCCAGGGGCTCTGGGAACAATTCTGTCGCCCGGCCCCAAGCTCAGAGTGCAGCCAGGAGGGTCAGAGCGGCAGACAGAGCCCCCCGCTGCCCCTCTGTGCTTGGGGACCGCGGGCCAGGAGAGCGGTCTTTGCAGGTGAAGACGTGCTGAAAGGGGTGGATGCCAGCAACGCACTCGTTCTACCCGGAAAGAAGAAAAAGAAGAGCAAGGCGCCGCCCCCGTCCAGAAAGGAGAAGAAGCCTCTGACCAAGAAGGAGAGGAAGGCGCTGCAGAAGATCCTGGAACAGAAGGAGAAAAAGAGCCAGGTAGGCCGCCCCTGCTGGAACGAGCAGCTCTGGGACGGGGAAACGGGCTCCACCGTGGGGTGCTTTCCGGCGAGGGAGGGAGACGCTCTGGCTGCATGGTGTGGTGCAGTAGCCAGTGCTGCCCTGGCGCAGGAGCGGCTGACTTTCGATGTGATTTACTGGTGTCACTAAAATTCCAAGTCCCACGGTCCCTGCTTAACGTGCCCAAAGCGGCCAGGCCTGGTGCTGCACACCTGTCATCCCAGCACCCAGAAGGCTGAGGCAGGAGGCTAGCCAGGAGTCTGAAGGCAGCCAGGACTGCATAGTGAGATCCTGTCTCAAGAAAAAGATGCACAGCCGGGAATGTAGCTCAGCAGCATAGGCACTTGTCTGGCAAGCCTGAGGTCATAAGTTCGATTCCCGGTACCAAAAAAAAAAAAGAAAAAGTTGCACAAAGTAAAGAGTGTAGCGTGTCAGAGCCCCAGGTACAGCCAGCTTCTGCCTGCCCAGCCCCTGGTCACCTGCGGGTCACTGTCCCGCCTCCTGGGAGTGTGGGTCCAGAGCCCAGGCAGCATAGATCCGCTTGCTTCCTGTGGTTGCCGTCACAGGTGCCCAGAACCTGGGCGTGGTCCTCTGTCCGGGTTCTGGAGGCTCGAGGAAGGCACTGCGGGCACAGGCCTCCGAGAGAACTGTCCTCGCCTCTGCCCACCCCTGCGGCTCCAGGCTTCTCCGCTTCTGGCCAAGTTGCTCAGCGTCTGCCCTTGTCTTCTGGGCACCTTTCCTGTCACTTGCAAGTGGACCCAGGCCCACCTTGAGGGGCTTCTTGCATTTGCCCAGACTAGGCTTTTGGGGACAGCCTATTAAACGTAGTGTCTTATCCAGAAGTGATATAATTTGGATCTCAAAAGCAATGGTTGTGTAGATAACCATAATACCATCAAAGTACCCTTTTCTATTTTTGGGGATAGGGTCTTGCTTTGTCACCCAGGCTGGCCTAGAACTCTCAGTGATCCTCCTGCCTCAGCCTCCCGAGAGCTGGGATTACAGGTGCCTGCCCAGCAGATGTACCAAGACTGTAAAAATAATATCACATGTACATGGTCTAACTTCTCCTTATAGACGCTCTCCCCTAACTCCCCACGAAATTTATTTGTTGAAGAAATAGTGTTTCTCTCAGTGAGTTTTTCATATTCTGCAGTTTTAAAAATGCTGTCTCCGTGCTGCAAACACAGTCCGCCCTCCAGAGGTCCTGTCATTCGTGTTTGGTCTGGAACAGATTGGTCCAGATTTGTGGGTTGAAGCCCCATGGGGAGCTGCTGGCATCAAGTAGGGCGAGGCCAGGGAACTGCTGAGCACCCACACTGCAGCGCCAAGGCCAGGGAGCCCTAACGTAGAGGCCTCTGAGACGCAAGTCTGACTTCTGGGCGGGGCCACTACGCATGCAGGAGCAGCGTGTGCGTCCTTCGGGAGGTGCACAGCTCGTGGTGGCCATGCTGTGCGGTCCCACTACTCAGAGCGCATCCTTTAGGAACCTGGGTAGAGGTCGGGCGTGGTGGCGCACGCCTGTAATCCCAGCACTCGGGAGGCTCAGGCAAGAGGATTGCTGTGTGTTCCAGGCCAGCCTGGGCTCCATAATGAGTTCAAGGCCAGCCTGAACTACGTAGCAAGACCCTTTCTCAACAGAACAAAACAAAACCTGTGTAGGACTCTTTCCCACTATTCTGTAGATTGGGATTTTTTTGTAAAAAATACATATGGAAGTGTGTAATGTAACGTGGGAAGGGCAATAAAGCTAAAACTGATGTAGTTTTTACCCAGCGGAGAGATAAGAGATGTGGAGCGGGGTGTGTTGGTGCTCACCTGTAATCCCAGGCCTCAGGGAGGCTGAGGGAGGAGGATCACAAATTAGATCCAGGCTGAGCACCTTAGCAAGACCCTGTCTCAAAATAAACGAAAGAGGCAGGGCATGGTGGCACACATCTATAATGCCAGCACTCAGAAGGCTGAGGCAGGAAAATCACCGCAGATTTGAAGCCAGCCTGGGCTGCCTGCACAGGAAGTTGAAGATCAGCCCAAACTAAAAGCGAGACTCTGTCTCTAAATAAATAAAATAAAGAAAGGCCTGGGGGTGTAGCTCAGCGCAAAGGCCCTAGGTCCCCCTTACTGAAAAAGAAGAAAGTGACTCAGCTCATGGCCTGTGCCCTGCCTTGTGCTTGGTAGCTTGGGGACAGTCATGCAGCTGTCTGCTTCCATAGGATAGCTGGTGGCTGGGCGTGGTGGCACACGCCAGGAGGCTGAGGCAGGAAGATCAGCATGAGCTCAAGGCCAGCCTGAACTGCATAGTGAGACCCAGTCTCAAAAACAAAAAAAAACATAGGACAGCCAGATAGTAATGCGTTATCCAAGCAGGCCCGCACTCAGGCTCCAGCTGCTGGCCGCCTGGACCACCCCGCGACCGCTTCCAGCACGTCGTGCCGCGGGGCCTCGGCCCACACCCCAGGCTTGTGCAGGTCTTGAGCGTCAGAACGCACAGCGGTGGGGCACAGCCAGATGGTGCATTTCGAGGGGCTCCCGGGGTGAGCGCCTGACCCTCGCGGGAGGGAGACCCCCAGCGCCCGTGCCTCAGGCTCTGCTTCCTCCCTAGCGAGCGGAGCTGCTGCAGAAGCTCGGTGAGGTCCAGGTGTCGGAGGCTGAGACACGGCTACTCTACACTACGTCCAAGCTGGGCACCGGGGACCGCATGTACCACGCCCGAGAGTGAGTGGCCGGCGACGCTCCGTGCTCCGTGCCCCTCAAGGGTACTGGGTGAGCGCAGCCGTTCCTGGCCAGGTGATGCGCAGACACCTTCAGCGGAGCTTCCTCAGCTGCAAGGGCCCTGTTAGCAAGGAGAGTTGGCTTCTGGGTTCTAGGCACGTGGAATCTGGGAGAGACACCAGTATACCCAGTGCAGACAGCATTTAAGAATTAGAAGATTCAGTGGGGCTTGGTGGCACACACCTGTAATCCCAGCACTTGGGAGACTGAGGCAGGAGGATCTCTGTGAGTTCAAGGCCAGCCTGGATTATATAATGAGACCCTGTCTCAAAAGAAGAAAAAAATAGATTTCAGTCTGATGTGGGGCACATGACTATCATCCCAGCAGTCTAGGAGGCTGAGGCAGGAGGATTGTAAGTTCAAGCCCAGCCTGGGGTACGTAGTGCCTTGGGAAGACCCTGTCTCAAAATAAAAACAAAAAGGGCCGGGGCTGTGGCTCTGTAGTAGAGTCCTTGCCTAGCACGTGCGGGGCCCTGGGTTCAACCCCAGTGCAAACAAAATGCAGGAAGTGTTCTAAGAAGAGCCAGGACTGTCTTCGGTCTCTGTGGGCTCCACTGCCCAGGCAGCTGTTAGCAGAGGCGGACGATGCCCAGCCGCGCCGGGCCCTGGACAGAGCAGGGCACTGTGTCCCCTCCCACTCTTTAGCTCAGGCTGAGGGGCCGGTGTGCAGTCACCACACGGGGACACACGTATTTGGAGCTGAGGCACCTGCAGGTGGAGAGGACGGGGAGGGATGCGCGCTGCGAGGTAGGGACAGGCCCCGAGGGTGACGTCTGAGTGCAGTGAGTTGCAGGGGGTGGGGGCTGCAAGTGCAAAGGCCCTGGGGGGCGTGGCCTCCAGGTCCTGACCCGTGCCGAGGGCCCACCCAGAGCCACCACAGAGTCCCAAGGCCTTGCTTCCCCGGCAGGAGGCCCGACGAGCTGGCGGCCCCGGGCCAGGAGAGGGTCAGCAGTCTGAGCGGGGCCCACCGCAAGCGCCGCCGCCAGCCGTCTGCAGAGGAGGAGCCTGATTCACAGTCAGAGTCCTCTGAGGATTCTGAGCCTGATGGGGCCACCGAGGACCAGGAGGGGGCCGGTGCCACGGCATCCACAGTGCAGCCTCTGCCAGGTCCCCCTGGCAGGTCCCCCTTTTCGGATGGGAGTCCGGCGGGCAGCGGACAGCCCTCTGCAGCCTCCACCCCGGGTCCTGAGACAGCTGCAGCCTCCGGCCCACCCAGGCACCCCGCCAGGCCTGCAGTGTTCATCCCCGTGAACCGAACCCCTGAGATGCAGGTTTGTCCCTCTGTTTTTTGGTTTTTTGTGTTTTTGTGGGTTTTTTTGTCTTTTTGAGACAGGGTCTCGCTATGTAGTTCAGGCTGGCCTTGAGCTCACTTTGTAGCCCAGGCTGGTCTTGAACTTGCAACGATCCTCCTGCCTCAGCCTCCTGAGTACTGGGATTACAGGCGTACACCACCACGCCCAGCAGGTTTGTCCCTCTGGGGTGGAGAACGTAGGTCAGCACTGCAGGTAGTGGTGTACGCCTGTGATCCCGGCTACCTGTGATCCCGGCTACCGCAGAGGCTGAGGCAGGAGGACCTCAGGTTTGAGGCCAGCCTGGGCAACTTAGCGGGACCCTGTTGCTATAAAATGCATGAGGCACTGTGTCCCTCCCAGCACCAGAAAGGTAGGTTGTGTCAGGAGAGAAAGCAGAGCCGGAAGGTGGCCAGGTTTCTCCCTCCCCCGCCCCACGGGCTCCCAGTGCCCGGGGGCCCCCCCGAGGGCCGGCAGCAGGGTTACCCCAGCCGCCCAGGCCTCCGTTCTGGTCACCACACACGTGCTGGCTGCCGCCTTGCACGTGCCTCTGGTCTTGTGTCTGTGGAGTCCCCTGCCGTTCTGCACGTGCACGTGCACCGCAGGCCCTGACCACCGCGTCCCCCGCCAGGCCGAGCGGCTCCAGCTCCCGATCCTGTCGGAGGAGCAGGTGATCATGGAGGCGGTGGCTGAGCACCCCATCGTCATCGTGTGCGGCGAGACGGGCAGTGGGAAGACCACGCAGGTGCCCCAGTTCCTCTACGAGGCCGGCTACGGCAGGTGAGGCCCTGTGGGGCCCGGGGCAGGTGGACGCTGGCCCGAAGGTCACTGAGAGCCTGGGCTCCTGGGAACAAAGTCCTGGCTCTGCCGGTTGCATGCGGAGACCCCAGGCGAGCTGTTCTGGGCCACAGTGTCACGGTGCTGGTGGCGCTAGGACGTCACAGGGATGCAGCAGTCGGATTCATACGAAGCACTGAGGCCCCCAGCTGGCTGCTGGCCCTGGCGTGATGTCCACTGCTGTCACTGTGTGTCCCACTCCTGGCTCTTTGGGTCTGTAGAGTCCCCGGGGCCACAGCAGGCTCTGCAGAGGGGACTCCCAGGTCCCAATGAAAGTGCGCGTGTGTGGGGCCGGGGATTTAGCTCGGCGGCACAGCGCCTGCCTGGCAAGTGCGAGGTCGTGAGTTTGATTCTCGGTCCAGAAAAAAACAAAAACAAAAACAAAGAAAGTGCACAGTGTGGTCTGCAGGGAAGCGGCAGGGTGGCGGGGGCCGGGGAGTCACAGGAGCTGCGTCCCAGCCCCAGGGCCAGTTGTCGGCATGCGGGACTGCGTCTCCCACAGAGGCTTTGGGGGCTCTGGGCTGCTTGCCAGGCCAGAACCAGGACTGCCGATGCCAGAGGGGAGCGGGGCTCCCTCCTGGTGGGCACCGACAGCCTGGGCGCCGTCTGGCTGCAAGGGAGAGCAGGGGCCTCCTGGAGTGGTGACCCCAGCCAGAGACGGCCACCACCCCGGCAGGTCCTCGAGTCTGTATGGCTGTGTCCTCTTGTGCATCGGGTCCTTCAGCCCACTTGTCAGAGGCCTGGAGTCCCGCAGGCTCACAGGGAGGTAGAGAGGGCGGTGTAGCGAGCTCCGTGTCCTGGCTGTCGTGTGTGACCAGCCTGCCATCTGCCCCTTCCTGTGTCGGTCGCCATCTCTGCTCAGGGCTGTGTGTGGCTCCGGAGGAAGGACCTTCCCGCAGCTGCCAGTCAGTCCACAGAGACTGAAGGGAGACAGAGGCGATTGTCCGCACCACGCTGGATGCAGGCCGGGTTCCTGCACCTCTGCCAGCTGTGGGACTGGGGGCGGCTTTACTCTCTGAACCCTGGCTTCCTCCTCTGTAGAACAGGGTATGGGATCTGCCGTCAAAGCTTGAACAGCACTCATCACTGGCTTTTAAATTTTACTTGTTTATATTTGAGACAGGGTCTCGCTATGCAGTTCAGGTGGGCCTTGAGCTCACTGTGTAGTCCAGGCTGGCTTCTAACTCACTGTGATCCTCGTGCCTCAGACTTCTGAGTGTTGGGGTGACAGGCTTGTACACGATGTCCAGCAAAACACCAGTTTTTAAATTTACCAGAAGCCAGGCATGGTGGTGCATGCCTGTAATCCCAGCACTCAGGAGGCTGAGGCAGGAGGATCGCTGCGAGTTTGAGACCAGCCTGGGCTACAAAGTGAGCTCAAGGCCCGCCTGAACTGCAGAGAGAGACACTGTCTCAAAAAGACAGTAAATTAATGAATTAATTAACCTGAGCGTGTCTCTGGGCGAGGCTGGGCTCGGAAACCTGCAGTGCGTGGGGGTTTCCCTGGAGCCTGCTCCCACTGCGCGTCCTGCATTGCGCCCTCCGCGCTCCAGGGTCTCTGCACATAGATTCTATTAGATTCTATCTCGCCCAGACGCCAGTGCGCCGAATGTGCTTTTCTGTGCACTGCGTTCTGTTCACCAGAGCGTCTGAGCTTGAGGCCACGCAGCCGGTGGAAAGCGGGCGCAGCTTCAAGTCCGGCACTGCCTGTGCTGGGTCCCTGGGGCCTGGGACCCTCCTCCTGCTGGTCCCTGGAGCCACAGCGGGGGCCCACCTGCCCCTGCTCCTGGGCTCCACGCAGGCTCACAGATTCTCGGTCAGCCAAGCCCCATGTCGCCGTTGACCCCGGCTTCTGATCTGAGGCCTTGGAACAGGCTGCCCGGGCCCCCTGCGGCCTGCCGTCCAGCTCCTCTCTGCCCCTCCGCTCTGCCTCGGGCCGTCGGCTTCCTGTCCCGCGCGTCCACATGTGGGTCGTGGCTCAGAGGCCCAGGTGGCCGAGGTCGTGGGCATGGCCGTGTGCCTGATGGGTGTCTCCCTCCCCACAGCGACAGCGTCATCGGCGTCACAGAGCCTCGCCGCGTGGCTGCCATGGCCATGTCCCAGCGAGTGGCCAAGGAGATGAGCCTGCCGCAGCGGTGAGGCCCTGCTGGCTGGGTGGGCCTGGGCCGGGCCTGAGGGCTTGCGGGAGGGGCTGAGTGGCACGGTGGCCCTGCCTTGCCCGGATCCTGGGCTGGTGTCACCTTGGCTCCAGGCCCCCGGGAACGCGCCTCGCGCCGTGCGGGGGCTTCCTGCACGTCAGACCCTGGGAGCCGCAGGCAGGAGCTCACATCACACTGGGGCAAGGTGAGGACCGAGGGATTGGCCAGGTGCAGGTGGCCGTGGAGTGACAGCACTGCCAAGGTCCCTTGGAACCACAAATGCCTGTCCTGGCAGCGAGCACCCACACTTACAGGGATGAACGTTGCCTGTATGTGAGTGTGTGTGTGTATGGGGGATACTAGAGACGAAGCCCGGAGCCTCTGCACTGAGCTTCCCTCTCAGCCTTTTTTATTACTTATTTTGAAATAAGACCTGGCCAAGTTGCCCAGCCCAGTATGGAGGCACATGGCTGTAATCCCAGCACTCGGGAGGCAGAGGCAGGATTGCCCCAAGTTTGAGGCCAGTCTGGGCTCCATAGTGAGTTCAAGGCCAGTATGAACTACATAGCAAGACCCTATTTCACAAAACAAAAACAAAGCAAACAAAAAGTTGCCCAAGCCGGGTTTAAATTTGGAATCCTCCTGCCTCAGCCTCCCATAGCGATGGAATTATAGGCACGCACCACACCCAGCTAGCATTTGTGCGTGTGCCCAGTGCTGGGGATGGAACCTGGGCCTTGCACACCTTGAGCTCGTTCTCTACCACCGAGCCACATGTCAGCCCCCACACTTACCTTTTACCGTAAAACCCCCAGGCGCACAGGGAAGTAGAGAGCGGCGTAGCGAGCTCCGTGTCCCGGCTGTCGCGTGTGACCAGCCTGTCCTCTGCCCTCCCTGTGTCGGTCGCCGTCTCTGCCCAGGGCTGCGTGTGGCTCTGGAGGAAGGACCTTCCTGCAGTCCCTGGGGGGACTATGGCTGTGGCCCTGCTGTGTGTGACAAGGCTCCTCGGGCGTCACCCAGTGCCCTCTGTCCTGTGCCGCAGCCTGCGGTTGCAGGGGAGGCTGAGGCGACATCGGCTTTATCCTGGGTTGCAGCCCGGCGTCCTCCATGGACTCTGGAGCTGCCCCGCTGCCCAGCGTCTCCGCCCAGAGCCCATGCCTGTCCCTGCAGGGTCGTCTCCTACCAGATCCGCTACGAGGGAAACGTGACCAACGAGACCAGGATCAAGTTCATGACGGACGGCGTGCTGCTCAAGGAGATCCAGAAGGTCGGTGCCCGTCCTGAGGTACAGGCGAGGCTGGCGAGCACGGGGGAGGACGTGGCTGCTGCCCGCAGTGGCCCGCAGAGTGCTGCCTGCGCCAGGCCGCTGCTGTGACCTCGGGCCAGTCTACGTCCCGATCCACGTCCTGGCGCTCAGCCCGCCCTTGTGTCGAAGGTGGGACTTGTGCAGTGCGCGAGAGCCGCTTGCACGGTGCCTGGCACACGGCTGGTGCCCGCTACATGTGCTCCTGGGCCTGGGTTGTGGCTTGGCTCGGTTTCTGCAGCCCCTAGACGTGCCCTGAATGCATGCGATGAGCCAGGCCCTGCCCTGGGCATGAGACCAGGATGGCTTCTGCGTCCAGCCATGCGCTTGCAGGGCAAGGCTGCCCGGGGCCCAGCCTCAGGCCGCTGTCCCTGCCCTGCATGTAGGGGTCCAGTCCCCAGCATGCAGCCCCATCTCCTGCGCCCGCCCCGGTCCCCCAGGGTGACACACGTGTCCCCGAGGGCGTGCAGGGCCCCGATGGAGGCCGTGCTGCTGCTGTCTGCCCCTGTGACAGGGCGAGGCGCCTCAGCCTCCTGAGCTTGATGTACCGGGGAGCGCTTGCTGTGTGACGTGTGCACCTGACGGTCCTGTTTCCGCGGTGCGGTGCAGCCCCCCGCCTCCTGCAGACTCCGGCGGCCCCAGGCCCCAGGCGGCAGGGCTGCTGCTCCTTCTGCCTGGGAGGGTTGGAGGCCTGGGGAGGTGGGGAGGCTTGCGCGGGAGCGCTGGGCTCGGGCTTCACGCAGCTCCCCCGCAGGACTTCCTGCTGCTCAAGTACAAGGTGGTCATCATCGACGAGGCTCACGAGCGGAGCGTGTACACCGACATCCTCATCGGCCTGCTGTCTCGCGTCGTGGCCCTGCGCGCCAAGGTGGGGCGGGTGCCCTGGGCTGCGCCTGGAGCCGGCGTCCTGCGTGCGGTGTGGCCGGGCCCTGCACTGTTTGACCCTGTCACCCCCCGGGCTGTCCTGGGCCTTCCTCTTGTCCCGCCCCGGCCAGCGCTGTCCTCCGCATGTCCCTGTCCTCGCCGTCCTCACGGGGTCACGTCCTGACTCCATGGTCTTGGTGGTGCCCCTCGGTGGCCTCTGGTTGGCCACGCAGAATGAGTGGGGGCGGCGAGGATCCGGGCCGGGTTGGGAGGTCACAGGCAGCGACACAGGACCCGGCCTGCTTCCGGCCCCCGCACTGCCTGGGGAGTTTCCAGCCACGGGTGACACGTCAGGCCGTCGGCCACTGTGTCCTTGGGGTCCCTGGGCTGGGTGGGCGCAGCAAGGCCCCCGTACCTGCTGTGCCTGAGGCAGTGTGGCTGTCCCCCAGAGGCGCCGGCCGCTGAAGCTGCTCATCATGTCGGCCACGCTGCGGGTGGAGGACTTCACGCAGAACCAGCGCCTCTTCGCCAGGCCGCCGCCCGTCATCAAGGTCAGGCCACGGCAGCGCCTCCTGCCGGGGAGGGAGCAGTGGTGGGGAGCAGAGCGGCCTGGGCTGAGCCGCGGTGGCCCCGCAGGTGGAGTCGCGGCAGTTCCCGGTCACCGTGCACTTCAATAAGCGCACGCCGGAGGACTACAGCGGCGAGTGCTTCCGGAAGGTGTGCAAGATCCACCGCATGCTGCCCGCAGGTGAGGCCCCTGCGGGACCCCCGGGGCACAGCAGGTACAGGGCTCGGCCCCCGCTGTGCACGCAGAGCCGCGGGTTCCCACCCGCAGGGCTGAGGGGAGCCAGGCAGGAGCGTGCGCTTGGCCTCCAGGCTCAGAGCAGGGCAGATGCGCTGCCAGGCATATGGTAGCTCTGTCCCCGGCCCCTTGTGGCACTGCTGGTCCTGCAGTTCCAGCCTCCCGTTGCTCCTGTATCTCATGGTCCTGACTCCTGGCTGCTGCTCTTTGCTAAGTGTTTGCAGAGTGACTAACGGATGACAGAGGGGTGGTTCTTTCTTCAGGCGGCATCCTGGTGTTCCTGACGGGCCAGGCGGAGGTGCATGCGCTGTGCCGCAGGCTCAGGAGGGCCTTCCCGGCCTCCAGGTCACAGCCACCAGGTAACTGGGCCCCGGGGCCCCTGCACAGAGCGCCCAGCCCGTGCTGTCCCCACCCCTGGGCTGACGGTCAGCGTACCTGTGGCCTTGCTGTGGAGAGGGAGCAGGCGCGGTCACCATGCTGCCTGCAGGAGTCTTCCTCCCTGCTCACCTTTCCAGGAAAGGAGGAGGACAAGGACTCCTCGGAGGAGATGCGCAAGTTCAAGAAGTCACGCTCCAGGGCAAAGAAGGCCCGAGCCAAGGTACAGGGGCAGGTTGCAGCCAGGTCGGGAGAAGTGGAAGAGAATCCAGGTCCTCGCGGAGGCCTACAGGGGGTTGGTGGTGGGGCGGTGCCCAGGGTGTCGCCTTCCGGGCGGGGTTGTGGCTCGAGGTGCGGTTGGAGGAAGTTTCTGGCAGGCTGGGCTTCGCGGACTGAGCTGGCTGCGGACTGCCGTCCCCGGAGGCAGTGAGCCCTGCAGCCGGCCGCATGAAGCTGTGGCCTCCCCCCCACGCGCCTGCCCCAGGGAGCCTAACTCCGGCCCTGCGCTGCCGTGCTGCCCCCGCAGGCGCTGCCCCACATCAACCTGGACAGCTACTCGGTGCTGCCGGCCGGCGAAGCAGACGAGGACAGGGAGGCAGAGGCGGACGGCGACGAGGAGGCCGCCCTGGGCTCGGACTTGGACCTCGACCTGGGCGACGGCGACAGCGACGGCGGGGCAGGCGGAGGTGTGGGCCGGGCGCAGCCTGCTGCCCCTGTGTCCTCTGGGCCGCTCCTTCCGTGCGCGTCTGCTCTGTCCCCACCACCTAGGGGCAGCGTGAGGCCCCGGGCCCTGCTTGCGAGTGGGCCCTGCGCGTCCTGGCCCCTTGAGTGTGGGGGGCCGCAGCACGTGGGGCTCCCGGCTGCCAGGTCACTGGGCTCCCCGGGCCCCTCACTGCCCGGGGTGGGGTAGGAGTCGCGTAGGGTTGTGTGGGGGTCACGGGTCCCCTGTGCGGGAGGGCGGCCCGGTGCACGGGACCCTGTGTGTGGGCAGGCCCTGCACCTTGCCGTGTACCTCAGCCGGGCACCCTGGTGCTGGCACATCGAGTCGCCACCACTCAGGAGGCTGAAGCAGGAGGAGCACTTGAGCCCAGGAACTTGAGACCTGTGTGGGGAATGTAGCAAGACCCTGTTGGAAATAGAGAGGAAAGGGGATTCTGTGGTCTTCCTGTCCAGTGCGGAGCTCACAAAGCAGTCGGTCCCCGACTGCCAGCTGCCAGGACAGCAGGGACTGCAGCTGGCTGTGGGGTGTCGGGCACCGAGGACCTGGATGGGGCACAAAGAGAGGCGCCTGCAGGGCTGGGTGGTGTGCCGCCCTGGCCAGCTGTCGGGCGGGGCGGCTGGAGGGTGACCCCCGCCCTGGGGTCTCTGCCCGCAGGTGCGTCGCTGCTGGACGCCTCCCTGCCGCTGCACGTGCTGCCGCTGTACTCGCTGCTGGCCCCCGAGAAGCAGGCGCAGGTGCGCTCCGCGGCGGCCTCCATCCCCCGGGGACGCTGGTGCCTGGGCGAGGGCTGAAGACAGGACCGCAGAGAAGCTGCCTGCGCGTCACCCGGGGCCATGTGGCCAGGCGGGGCGGCCGGGCCCGCTCCACCCGCGGGTGTCCCTCACCCACAGGACCCTGCCCCGCCCTGCCCCTCCGTCCTGGAGCTGCTCTTGATGCGGGCGCTTGCTTCCCGCCCCGCCCCAGGTCTTCAGGCCTCCCCCGGAGGGGACGCGGCTGTGTGTTGTGGCCACCAATGTGGCCGAGACGTCCCTCACCATCCCCGGCATCAAGTACGTGGTGGACAGCGGGAAGGTCAAGAAGCGCCACTACGACCGCGTCACCGGCGTGTCCTCCTTCCGCGTCACCTGGGTCTCCCAGGCGTCCGCTGACCAGCGGGCGGGCCGCGCGGGCCGGACGGAGCCCGGCCACTGCTACAGGTGGGTCCCCTGCCCCGCTGCCCCGAGGGCGGGCTCTGTGTGCGGGTGTGTGTGTGTGTGTGTGTGTGTGTGCGCGCGCGTGCGTGCACCGCACACTCACCTGGACCCGCAGCTCCCACCACGAAGGTGGCCGTTCTCCACCCTGTCCTTCGTTAGCGGGGTGATCAGGGCTCATTCACCTCAATGTGCACAAGTCTGTCTTATTTTCAGAAGTTTTTCATTGTTCTGTGGTACTGGGGACGGACCTCAGGGTCTTTGTGCTAAGCTACATCTCTAGCCTTTTACAATCTTTACTTATTTATTTATTTTTGAGACAAGGTTTCCCAAGTGGCCCCTGCCGAGAACAAACTTGCAGTCCTCCCGCCTCAGCCTCCTGGAGTGCTGGGGTTGCCGGCGGGGCCACACCTGGCTCGTGGCCTTCGTGCTACTGCTTTGCCGCCCTGGTGCCCGAGCCGCTGCAGGCGCCGTCGCTCACCCCCCGCCCGTGTGCCGCTCCCCCCCCGCCCTCCCCCCGCACCTCGCTGCTGTTCTCCCCGCGTGGTTTTAAGTCCTGCACGGGAAACTGGAGAAGGCGGCAGATGAGGAAGGAGCACCCGGCTCCGCGGAGGGAGGCAGCGGCCGCGCCGTGTAGGGCCCCCCCGCTCACGCCTCCTCTCCACCAGGCTGTACTCCTCTGCTGTCTTCGGGGACTTCGAGCAGTTTCCCGCCCCTGAGATCACGCGGAAGCCGGTGGAGGACTTGATCCTGCAGATGAAGGCTCTCAACATCGAGAAGGTGGGTGCCAGCCCGCCCTGCCCCGCGGGGTTCTCAGCGCGGCCCCCTTGGGCAGCCGGCTCCCACCCGGGCGGACTGGCCAGTCCCCTCGGATGGAGAAAGTCGCTCTGTGCCGCACGTGGGGCCTGGCCCGGGCACCCTGGCCCGCGGGGTCCGGGTCACTTTCTTGTTGCTGGGGCACAGCGTACCCTTGCAGGAGCAGAGGTTCACCTTGGCTCGTGTTTGCAGCGGTCGGTTGCTCAAGGCAGACAGCCTGGCCGCGGGGCCTGGCAGAGGACAGCTGTTTGAGGCCTGGGGGTCAGGAAGGGGGGGCAAGGCCACGCCCCGGGGACTCTCCAGCCAGCCCCCCGCAGCAGCGCAGTCAGCCCCGAACTCGGCCCCGCTGGATCCCGCAGCGAGCACAGGCGCGGGCCCTCTCCTTCCGCGCTCTGCGCCCAGGCCGCGACACGGGGTGACCTGCAAAGCGTCCTGGGCTGGGCTGTCGTCCCTGAGGGGGCAGTGGCGTTGGTGCCGAGCGCGCGCTCGCCGCTGCCCCAGAGGGTGTCCAGCGCTGTCCCTGTTGCACAGAGGACCCGTGGCTGTGCGTCGCACGACTTAGTGCCAGGGAGGCTCTGCGCGGAGTCACGCTGCGGCGAGGTCCCCAGCGCTGCTCGGCCGGGCAGGGACCCGTGCACCCGGTGGTGACTGTGGCTGGCGGGCGCAGGCGGGCGGCCCTGGGTTCCTGCGCCCCGAGGGCTTGCTCCTGCTGTCCGGGTGCCCAGCCCTGTGCCTGGTGGGGGCTGTGGCGGGCTCCACCGGTGCTCACCCCGCCCCCTCTGTGACTCCAGGTTGTCAACTTCCCCTTCCCCACGCCACCCTCTGTGGAGGCCCTGGTGGCGGCGGAGGAGCTGCTGATTGCGCTGGGGGCCCTGCAGGCGCCCCCCAAAACAGAAAGGTAGGCGAAGCTGGGCGGGGCGGCGGGGCTGAGCACCCGCTGCCCCATTCCTGCCCCCGCCCACCGCGGCCCTGTCTCCAGGCTGAAGCAGCTGCAGAGGTCGCGGCTGAGCTGCCCCATCACGGCGCTGGGCAGGACCATGGCCGCCTTCCCCGTGGCGCCCCGCTGTGCCAAGATGCTGGCGCTCGGCCGCCAGCACGGCTGCCTGCCCTACGCCATCGCCGTCGTGGCTGCCATGACAGTGCGGGAGCTCTTCGAGGAGCTGGACAGGTGGGTGACGCGCGGCCCTGCCCAGCCCCGGTGGTGACATTGGCCACCCTGGCCCCCTCTGCAAGATGCGGGGCGTCCTGAGGCTCAGAGGGAGGGGCCCCGTGTCCAGGGCCACTGATTCCAGAAAAGGGACACTTAGAGGCCACCTAACGCAGAGAGCAGGTAGTGCAGCACTTCTGCGCCCCCCGCCCTGGGAGGCTGAAGCAGGAGGATCACAAGTTCAAGCCCAGCTAGGCAACTTCATGAGACCCTGTCTCAAAAATAAGACTAAAAAGGGACTGAGAATGTAGCTCAGAAGGCCCTGGGTGTAATTCCTGTTACTGCAAAAATGTAAGCCAGGCTGGTTGGCATACACTTATAATATCAGCACTTGGGAAGCTGAGGCAGGAGGATTGCCTCATGTTCAAGGTCAGCCTGGAGTACATAGTCCTATCAAAGACAACAAAAAGACATTTAAAAAATAAAATAAAATGGACCAAAAAAGAGGGAAAAAGAACTCTTATCTGCGGTGCCCCAGGCTCCTCCCTCGGAGGCTCCGGTCCTGCGGTTGGGGCGTGAGGGGCCGGTCTGCACACGTGTGTCCCCAGGGGCGGCCCACATGGTGCCCTGTCCCTTGGCAGACTTTGCCACCTCCCCTGGGGACTGTGGCCCCGTGGCGGAGCCCTGGTCAGGGGAATTTACTGAGGGAACCTCGGGGTTCCCATGGTTCCTCTGCCCCAGCTGACGTCCTGCGCCCCCGCCCTGCCGCCCTTGTGCCGTGCCCACGGCCGCCGCCACCCGTGTGCAGCCCGCGCCCCCTGCCGAGGCTCCTGGACAGGAGCTGGGATTTTCTCGCACGCTCAGTCCTGAGGGCTGTGACCTGCAGGGCGCGGCAGCCCTGGGCGGCATCGCCGTGTGGCCGTGCGCAGTGACTGAGCTGCTCAGCCTGGGCTTCTGCCCCGGGTAAGCTGGGAAGGATGGGGAAGTGCTGACAGTGACGTGCGGCTCGTTGGTTTTAAGTTAACTCCTGTGAGCGAAGCACGCTGAGCTGCACCCCACCCCGCCACGCAGTTAGGTTGACACTGCGGAACCACTGGCAGGATTCTCTGCCCAGCTCACCGTGGGTGGCTTTGCCAGTAGCGTGGGATTTCCTTTTCCTTTTTTTTCTTTTTTTTGGTACCAGAAATTGAACTTAGGACCTTGCACTTGCCAGGCAGACGCTTATACCATTGAGCTATATCCCCGGCCTGCTTTTCCTTTGTTAGTTTATTTTTAAATTTGAGGCAGGGTCTCACTATGTCATTTAGGCTGGCCTTGAACTCACTAGGTAGCCCAGACAGGCCTCCAACTCAGGTGATCCTCCTGCCTCAGCCTCCTGAGTGCTGGGGTTAAAAGCATGTACCACGCCCTGCGTGGTTTTCTAACTTACTCTTTAAAAATACCATGCAGCAGTGTGTGGTGTTGCTTATCAAACTGCTCGGTCAGGAGGCAGGTGCTCTTTCATTCTTTCCTGGTAATGGGGATTGGACCCAAGGAACATGGAGCTACGTCCGCAGCCTTACTGAGCCGTCCAGGCTGGCCTTGAACTTGTGATCCTCCTGCCTCAGCGTCTCAAGTAGCTGGGATTGCAGGTGCACGCCTCTGCGGCTGGCACCGTGCACACTGTGAGCCCTGCTGGCCCAGGGGGGACACGGGAAGCTGAGTGTGACCTGGCCCTGCCCCGAGTGTGCCCGCACCGCCAGGGCGACATACAGCCAGGTTACCTGTGCGTGTGTGTCTGTCTGTCTGTCTGCAGACCTGCCGCCAGTGAGGAGGAGCTCACGGCACTGAGGGGCCGGCGTGCCCGGGTGGCACAGATGAAGAGGACCTGGGCGGGGCGGGGAGCCTCTCTGAAGCTGGGCGACGTCATGGTGCTGCTGGGTCTGTGCCCACGTGGGGAGGGTGGAGCGTGCGGTCCCGGGGTCCCGGGGTCCCGGCCAGCGGGTGAGGTTCGCGCTCGTCCTGCAGGAGCCGTGGGGGCCTGCGAGTACGCCGGCTGCTCGCGGGAGTTCTGCGAGGCCAACGGGCTGCGCTTCAAGGCCATGCTGGAGGTGCGGCGCCTGCGCGGCCAGCTCACCACCACAGGTACAGGGCGCCCCCGCCCAGGACAGCTGCCTGCGGGGACCCGGCTCTGCCCGCAGCAGAAGGGGAGGTGGCTGTTCTGTGGGACGCAGGCCCAGGCCCCCGGTCCCTTGCTGTTCACCCCCAGTCAACGCCGTGTGCCCCGAGGCCGGGCTCTTTGTGGACCCCAAGATGGACCCGCCCACCGAGAGCCAGGTGACCTACCTGCGGCAGATTGTCACGGCCGGCCTGGGCGACCACCTGGCCCGCAGGGTGCAGAGCGAGGAGCTCCTGGACGACAAGTGGAGAAACGCCTACAAGGTGCGGTGTCGGCCCTGGGGGTCCCAGCAAGGGGAAGCCCGGGCTGGAGTTGCTGCTCCTCTGCGAGCTGGGGCTGCACCCCAACTTTTGGAGGGTTTTCCTTTTTGCCTTTTTTGAGACACAGACTGAGGCTGTTTTCAGGCTGGCCTTGAACTCAGTGTAGCCCCAGATGGCCTGGGACTTGCTGTGATCCTCCCGCCTCAGCCTCCCTTGTGCTGGCATTATAGGCGGGCGTCCCCTCTCCTGGCCACTAAAGCAGCTTCAGTGGAGTGTAGTTCTCCTGCCGTAAAACCAGTCCACAAAAGCACGTGGCTCCGTGGTCTCGACGTGTTCAGATCCTGCGGCCGACATCACAGTCGGCCGGAGGACATGGTCACCTCCCCGAGAAGAACCTTCTGCACCCTCCTGCTGCGCACTCCCCGTCCCCATGGATGAGCTTCCCGTCTCCATTCTGTCGCAGCCTGTGTTGCTGCCCCGTCCCCTTGGTGGCCGAGGAACTGGGCGTCATGGGGTGGATGTGGCCCTCAGTCCTGTTGGTAGAGCAAGGATTGCATCGGTTCTGGGGTGCTAGGGTCCCCCTGCCTCGAGCCACCGCCCCTCCCTCCACAGACCCCGCTGCTGGACGACCCTGTCTTCATCCACCCCAGCTCCGTGCTCTTCCGAGAGCTCCCCGAGTTCGTGGTCTACCAGGAGATTGTGGAGACCACCAAGATGTACATGAAAGGTACCGTGGGCGCCTTGGGGACTGCAGTGCCCCCCCCGCCCCGCCTGCCCCGGGCGGCACCTGGCTCACGAGAGCCCCTTCCCGCCAGGCGTCTCCGCCGTGGACGAGCAGTGGATCCCGGCTCTGCTGCCTGCCTACTGCCAGTTCGACCCGCCCCTGGAGGACCCCGCCCCCACCTACTGCCCCGAGCGCGGCCGCGTGCTGTGCCACCGTGCCAGCGTGTTCTGTGAGTCCCTGCCCGGCCCTGCGCGTCCCCGGCCTCTTGTCCCCCGGGTGCCCCCTGTGCCTTGCTCACCAGCTGTGCCCTGCAGACCGTGTCGGCTGGCGGCTCCCCGCCGTCCAGGTGGATTTTCCTGAGGGCCTCGACCGCTACAAGCACTTCGCCCGCTTCCTGCTGGAAGGGCAGGTTGGTGGCGGGGCCCCCACGGCCCCGGGCCTGGGCTTGGTGGATGGGGTGGTCTGGGCTCAACACCGGTGCCTCTGCAGGTCTTCCGCAGACTGGCCGCCTTCCGGGGCTGCCTGCTGTCCAGCCCCAGCACGATGCTGAAGACGTGGGCCAGGTACGGCTTCCCGGGGCAGCGCGGGGCGGGCGAGAGGGAGCCTGTGTGGCTGGGACCCTCCCGCCTCGGCGCCTCGTGGCTGCTGACTTCCTGCCGTTGCTTGTGCATGTTTCTGGTCCCCCCCGGCCTCCTCCTGTGCCTGTGTCCTCCCTCCTGTACCAGCCCAGTCACCCCCCTGGGCTCCCCCGCCCCCGGGCCCGGCAGCAGCCCTGTGTCCTCTCCGCCAGGCTGCAGCCCAGGACGGAGACGCTGCTGAAGGCCCTGGTGGCCGAGAAGGCTGACTGCCGCGATGCCCTGCTGGCTGTGTGGAAGCGAAACCCCAAGTGTGAGTGGGCAGCGGGCTGCACCCTGGCTGGGCGGGGCCCCTGCCCGGGGCCTCTCGGCTGGGCACGGCCGTGGCCATGCTGACGCAGCGCCCCCTCCCTGCAGACCTGCTGGCTGAGTACCTGGAGTGGCTCCCACAAGCCACACACCCCGACGTCGAGAAGGCCTGGCCCCCCGCCTTGCAGCATTGACCAGGCCCCTGGCTGCGGGCTGGGGCTGGCACGGGGAGCTCAGGACGCCCCATGAAAGCTGCTCCGCCCGGGCTGCTCTGCATGCGGTGCCTGCCTGTTTATTACACGGGGACCGTGACCTCGCTTGGCTGTGGTTCCGGTCTGGAGTGTGGTGTGGGCTGCATCAGCCCGTGTGGACCTCAGGGCTGTGCTCCAGCGGGGCCTCCTGCAGAAGCTCAGCAAAGACCGCGGACTTCTGTGCGCTGCAAAGTGGGTGGTGCCCTGTCCGGGGCTGCTGTGGAGGCGGGGCAGAGGACGGTCCCCAGGGAGAGGATGCACACAGGGCCCAGGCAGGGCGGTGTCAGGCCGTCTTGTCCTGTGTCCAGGGCCCCAAGAGGCCAGCCGTGCAGTCAGGACGCCACATAGAAGACTTCTGCCCGGACTCTGCCTGCACCCTGGGACGGGGCGCCGGCCCCTCTGCTCGCCCGGCCCCCAGCTGCACACACCCCCATCACACTGATTCGCCTCTTGGGAGCCCCTCAAGGGCCCAGGTTGGGCTGCCCTGCCCCGTGGCCCAAGCGGCAGAACCTCAGCTCCTCAGCTGAGCAGAGCTGGACCCCAGGGCCGTTCTCCAGGGCATCGCAGTGCTGGCCCCAGCTGTGTTCAGTGGCCGTGGGAGCCGGGCGCTCAGCCGCAGCTCTCTCCCCGCTCCACTGTTCCAAGCAGACGGTTCTAAGCCCGCCGAGGTGCCAACACGCAATAAACGTCATCCTGAGATTATCGCCACCCAGTGCCAGGGTACCTTTGTGACCCTGGAAGGCAAGCCCGCCGTCGCTCCTTCGCCGCTGTGTCGCGCTTGGGCCCTCCTGAGCCCGCCTTCCATCCGTGTTTATCTTTGCCCCGACTGCACGTTTCGGGTAAAGTCGCACAATGTGTGACCTGTCACTCTGTCGCCCCACCTACAGTTCAGGGTGGGAGGTGCGGCAGCAGTGTGTGTGTCACGTGGTTACATTTGCCAAATAAAAAGGGCCCTGGTGCAGAGCCGGGCATGGGGCAGTCAGGAGGCTGAGGCGGGAGGACCGCTGAGTTGGAGGTCAGCCGGGGCTACAAAGCAAGGCCCTGTCGTAAACCATGGTGGGCTGCTCTGCATGCCCATTTGTCCAGGGCTCCCGTGTACCCGTGTGAGTGTCTTGTGGATACAAAGCCCGCCGTTCTCTCATGTCCAGGAGTGCCGGCCGGAGGGCGAAGAGGATCCCAGCTCCTCCTACTGCGTTACTCAGTCCTACCTCACTTTCCAAATGAAGAGAATCTTAGTTGCCCAAGCTGGGCTCCAACTTGCAAATCTTCCTGCCTCAGCTTCCCAGAGGGCTGCAGTTAGCAGGCGTGCACCACTGCGCGGGTCTGACGCGCAAAGATGTGTGCGCATGCGCGCCTGCATATGCCCGCCATCGCTGGAAGCCGGGGCCTTTTTTTTTTGGTACCAGGAATCAAACTCAGGACCTTGGGCTTGCCAGGCGGCGCTTATGCCACTGAGCTATATCCTTGGCCCTGAACCCTGGGCCTTGTGTGTGCTAGCCAAGTGCTTGTCTGCCCGGCAGCCTCTCGTGTGGCCTTTCCGGGGCGCCTAGCTGTTCACACAGCAGCGCCCTCAGCCTCCACCCCACCCCATGCCAGCCGGGCGCCCCAAGCGACTCCTGTCCCGGGACACCCTGTGGCTGCTGCGTCGCCCCAGAGGAGTGGTGCGCGTTGACAAGGGGACCACGCAGGCCCTGGTGGGGGAGCAGGAGGGGCAGGCCGGGTTCAGTTCTGGGGCTCCCCCTGGCGGCCGAGCAGAGAGCGCGCCCCGGTGGTGTGGGCCCCGGGAGATGCGAGTCAAGGGGGCAGCGCAGCCGCAGGGCGGGGCTCTGGAAAAACGGGAGGAAGCTCCAGAGTGCGCGGATTACAGGTGTGCGCGCCCAGCGCGAGGGTGAGCATCTTTTGGGACAGCTGTTTCCAAGCCGGCCCGGTTTTGCCCACCATGCCAGCCCCTGCAACGGGTTTTGCAGAAGAGCAGGAGGTTTATTTGCAGGGCGAACAGGCGTGGAGACAGAGACGCAAGTCGCAAATCCGCCTCCCCGAGGACCGGCTTTGGGGATACTTACGGGATAAAATAGCGAGGTGAGCCAGGTATGCAAGCGCACGCCTATCATCCCCGCACTCTGGGAGGCTGAGGCAGGAGGATCATAGATTGGAGCCCAGCGTGGGCAGTCTGGTGACATAGTGTGACACTTCTCAAGTACAAATTTTAAAAAGCTGGGGGTGCAGTTCCGGGCAAAGGCCGGGGCCAGTCCCCATTGCCGGGGGTGGATTCGGGCATGGTAAGGGGAGCGGAGGTCGGTCGTCACGGTTGTCTTGGACGCTTGCTCAGGAAATGGTATGCTTTAGCGTGATCCGAGGAGGACTGCAGAGCGGGGTCCAGCCTGGGCAATTCCGTGACATAACGAGACCCCCTCTCCAAAAGAAAACAAGGCCAGCGGCACAGCTCAGTGCGGAGGCCCTGGGCCCAGTCCCCCGTTAAAATGAAAACCAGCGCACCCACCGCCGTGGGCCCCACAGCGCGGACACGAGCGCGTCGGTGGGGGCAGGCCGGGCGCAGGGCGCTCGGCGACGCGCTCGGTGAGAGCGCAGGGCTTCCGGCGGACGAC